TGCTTCCCCTGTGTCCCTGGCAAGAGACCCCAAAAACTCCCATGGCTAACCCAAGCATACCCTAGAGCCATGCTGGTTTTGTTTCAGAGGTTTGATTTTTCAGGAAAAAAAAAATCAAAAAAACCAAAATCACAGGGTGCAATACTTCTGATCAAGTCTGCTGCTGTAAACAAGCCCATCATACAAGCACAGCAGGCAGTTCATTGCCATCGTGCTGCTACAAACCCTACCTCATGCTTAAGTGTTGATTTTGTCACATCAGTTCTCTTCCTAAACAAAGTACGTGTCCACGTACATCCAAATGCATTTTGTATGTGACCAGGAACACAGTAGGTACTTACAACCTGGATTTCTTCACTTAGCAGTTGGTAATTTCACATTTTCAAGAGCAGCCTGTCAAGGCCAGGTGTGTATCACAAAGGTATCACAAGGAAGATCTTTCCAGTGAGAGGCTGGAACAGCTCCTTGTGAGCAGGATTTTCTGACTGTGAACAAACCAGGGCACTGTGCTGCTTCCTGTGCATTGGTGTAAATGAAAACTGAGTTAGAACTTAAAAACGTGCTCATTTTAATTAACACAGCAAGAAACAATAGCTGTCACCTTTCATGGCCATGGCTGGCTGTGTTCCTGCCTGGCAATTTGAACGTTGTATACTGAAGGCAACAGTTTGCATTCACACTATGTGATTAATGAAACAATTCCTGCTAATCACAGAAACTTTTATACATTAACTGCCTAATGCCACACTTGCTTCTGTCAACAGCAAGAGCAAAAATCCTGCTGAACTCACCTTCCAAATCTCAACTGTTCTACAAAGTAGAGACACATTGTATTTATACTTTCCTGAGGAACTAAATTCAAAACCCTGCCTGTTTTGAACGGAATAGCCACATATATGGGGCATATGAAAATAGCAGACCTTTTGAAATGTGAAAATATGCAGTTTGCCCCAGGGCTATAAAAAAAAAAATCAGTGGGAAGGCCAAGATCAGAACTAAGACATTTTTTTGCTCACAGCCACAGACTACAGTTTCTGCAAAATGCTGTCTACTGAGAAACATGCTCACAGCATCCTTAGGTTGATGTTCCTTGTCAGTTGGTGCAGAATTGCTTTGAGACTGATTTTTCCATCTCATAATATGTAATACAGAGAATCACTTCTTGAGAAGATTTTTAATAGGCACATCATTAACTACTGTCACAATAAAAGGTACTTCATGTTTAGCGTCATAAAATCTCAGCCTTGATTCAGTCCATGATTTCTTCCTCTGAACAGGCCTATTTTTAATTAGCATATTTGCAAATGTAAGCAGTGCTACAGTGGGTACTTTTTTCTGCTTGTGTCTGCCTTCCATCTTTACACTGCATACAAGACTAACTTGATGTGTAGCTAATTCATTTGCACAAACCTGCAGGTGAATCCTATGTCCTTCCAAGTAACACATGGCCAGTGTTGTCACCTATGATAAGCTGAAAGACTCAGTACCTTTTTATGGAACAAAGTCAGAATTTTGCAAAGAATTGCATGATTGAAAGGGTGATGGCTGCTTTTTAAATTTTTTTAAACTTGAATCCTATACTTTGCTAATATCTTGTGTCACCAAATCCCAGCATCTACTTCCTGCTGCTAGGAGGATCAATGCTGCCAATCAGATGATCAATGAACTATCACAGGCACTCAGATAACTGCAAATCAACACGTCCACTCTAACCCCTCAGGCCAATTCCACATCCCTACAACTGTGTGTATCTTAGAGACCAAAACAACCAGCATGGAATTCTTTTCATAACCACTCTTTCTTCTTAAATCATACAGAAATGACAAGCTTGCAAAGAAGATGGAGATTTGTTTCCACATAAAGTTATTTCCTGTGAATGCTTTCACACATCCTTTGCCTAACATGATTTTCATGAAAATGAAATATAGTCATAAAAAACCCTGCAGAAAGCCATGAGTATTGCCCAAGGGGAATTACACTGCAGTGGGGTTCTGCAGGTTTACTCCCAGGTCTCCTCTTCCTCACCTACCCAAGTCAAAAGGAACAGGCACCAATATTTAAAGGCTCTAAAGAGCAGCACTCAAACTTCTCACTGTGTTAACGAGACAAGAATGAATTAATGAACAGGCACAAATAACACAGCATCATTCATCTTATAAGGAAGCAGTATTTACTATGGCCTTACTACCTGTGCCCACCTGTCAACATTTCACAGAAAATAAAGCTACAGTCAATCACAAACACTGTCATGTAGAGCAGTTTATCACATTTGTTTCCACGTTCATATCTTCTGCTAAGTCATCTAACTGAAAAAAGAAGTGTTGAATTATAAAAATGAAAAATTATACTGCACTGGAAAGAGGCTTTAAGCTTCTATGATTGCAGTGTGTTAAAATCTATTTCAGCCCATTCAGATACTTAAGAAAGTTACTGGTAGGAAAAAAAAAAAGGGATCAAGCTCAGAAATCTCTGATGATAAACTAACCTTTTAATATATTGCTCTTGATTTCCAGGGTTTCAAAACTGGATTAACTGCTGTGGTCCAGATGGATATATTCACTGTGCTAATCCACTGTGTTCAGTTCAAGTTTATTATGCTAAATACACTCCAAGAGGATTTTATCTTTTACCTGCACCTTCCTGTGCTCAGTGAGACTCTTCTATTCATCAAGAATGAGAAGCACAAGATGTGGTGGAACCTGCCTTTTTAATTATCTTGTACCAAAGTGGCCCCATGATGGAGATGAACTGGTCAAACTCTCTTATTTTAGAGCAGCTCATTATCTATGCATGATCACAAACTGAAAGAAAAGGTATGCTGAGCATGCTATTGATTGCAGTTCTATCTGCCATGATTCAATAAGTTGAAATTTCATACACCAAGTATTAAATTACTGAAATTATGCTTTGGCTCATCTGCATCCATTTTTTATTCACTTTTATTTGGCTGAACATTTTAATCTTACTTACACAGTTTCTAACTAAAAGTAAACTACGCATTCCTAATAATATAAATATGAAAAATAGGGTGTGCTCAGGGACTGCAGTTGAATACATTAAAATCACTCAGTTTGCTAGTTAACATATTTCCATGGTTTTATGTACAACCTTTCACATTCAGTTGGCAGACTGTAAATTCATGGCCTTATAAAAAAAACCACTGTCTTGATTTTCTGTTGTGACAGCAGAAATCGTCCACAATATCTAAGAGTTTCCCTAAAGGACACTCACTGGCTGGTACTTCCCAGGTGCAGCACAATCTGAATTTGAGGTGAACATCATGTCAAATTCCACTCATCTGTCAATGTAGTGGATTATTTCTTGAGAGACTGAAATTGGCTGCCTGGGATCAGAACACCATCAATCTTATTCGTGTAGGGTGCAGAGAAGCTGCCTGAGCCAGGCTCGCAGGAGGGAAAGCTTGGCTGCTTCTAAGTAGGTGATGAGGCAGCTGTAAAACCTTCACTCTAACTGTAGCACATCCCTGAGTGAAAGATTTTGTCATTTTTCACATTTCCCCCAACATTTAGTATGCATTCAGCATCTTGCTGTTCTTGCTTCATAAAAAAGGTGATTTTTCAAGCTTAGGCAAATGTTGCAGAGCTCTGGATCTGCCCAGCTCTCATTTTTTCTCATAATGTCACTTGTTTCAACTGATTCCATAAAATGATATTACGTTTTCCTTTTACATACCTGTGCAGCTGGGCTCTTTTTTCCCCCTTTCCTTCACTAGGGACATACTCAACCAGCAGCGTTACTGATAATTGCACTGCAATAAATCTCCAAGTCCCAAATAAGTCCCTCAAACCTGAAACTTCAAGCACTCCCAGATTTCCAGTGCCAGGGGGTAAAGGTGACACCCTTGGTTAATCTGATGCTCTAACATGGGCACTGAGACCTGGCCTAGCAAGGATTTTGTCTATTCCTCTACAACATAAATGTTTTATTAGGACAAACCAAGATAATGTCAATACCTGTGATTTCTGGGCAAGAAACATACCTCGGAAAACTTCTGAGTTTTAAAGTTGCCAAAGACCTGTGTTCAAGACCATCTGTCTTTGAAGGGACGTCGTTAGATTAAAAACCATTAAAATATTAATTGCCACATTGTAAAATGACTCATCACTTGAGTTAACACTTTCCAGCTTTCATTTCTACAACTCTTAAAGCCCCTCCAATCTTTTTTTAGATTCAAATTTGGTTAAGTGACATTCTTGGCCCATCTAATTTTAACCAGATGAAAACACTGTGCTAGAAAATGCCACCACCTCAATTTTTAGCATAGCACATTCTTCAGTGTGCAATTAGCAGTTGAAGGAGTTATGTGATCCATTTCTATTAATAAAAACACAATAAAACCTGTCCCTGCAGACCAGCAGTCCAAGTGAGCTGTGCTCTCCACTGCTAACCTGTGGGATTGATTCTGCATTCACAGGCACTGCTCTCTGTTCACAGTCCCAAATTCTCCTCCAGGCCACACTTTTGCAGCCCCATCAATTTCAGAGATAAACTTGAGAGCCTCAGAATGAGTGTGCCTCCCTAAACCCAAAGCAAACTCCAAACCTGCAGCACACACTGAGGTGACTGAGGGAGATTTGGTGGTTTAAGGAACAAACCTGAACCCAGTTTGGGTCAGATAAGTACAAAGTTCCACAAACCTGGGCTGTCACAGTGTCCAAGTTCTACAGAAATTCCAGAACTTCACCAAATGTGGAGAAGGAGAGAGAGAAACAAGGATACAGAAACTGAACCGTCACCCACAACGGGATTTTTTTGTTGGGCAATTGTTAGAAAATGACATTAAACATGACTATTCCCACATTGGATTGGCAAAGCACAACACACATTAGACTCACCAAAAAACAGATGCTGTGCAATACAAAGGCAAACAACTCGTAAAACTTAAATGATAAAGAGAATTTTGATTAGTCAATCATTTATCAAGACAGACAGGAGCACGGGCAGAGAGCCTGCAAGCCCAGAGCTGAGCTCAGTCCTACCTGGTCTGTGCAGGTGATGCTGCTGGAAAGTGTGATGGAGGGACCCCTGACAGAGCAGCATTGCACAGGCACTTATCCACAAATACAGGACCCAGGACATTGCAGAGACCACTGCCATTCTCTAAACAAAATATTAGACACACATTGTTATCCAATGCCTTACAGCACACACAATAGTCAGCTTCCATTACAACAGTGGTTTTAATATTTTTCTTTTTCACTCCTTTTGCTAAATGTCTTTTGATTATTATTCCCCCCTGCAGGATGCAATCGTTGTACAACAAAGGTCATGCCCGGAAAGGACAGCTGAGGTAAAGAGACATTAACACAGGAGCCTGGGTAACTTTAATAATTCAGTGGTAAAAATCAAACTGTAATAATCTGAAGACTAAAAAAACCACAATATAAATAGAAGCTGGGAAATATTCTCACACTGATCCATAGCTCAATTTAAAGGGGAGTTAAAAATATAAACCAAATTTTAAAAAGTCACAACACCAGCTGGAAAAAACCAACATGATGTCCAGACAGTACCAAAGCTGCTTTAAATACATTGCAGAAAGGCATAACACATCCTCAGATGCCCAAGACATATTGCCAAAATACTCCATCCCCAAAACTAAAAAGGCTATTACTGACCCAGAAGGTAACAGTACATTGTTTGGTTTTTTGCTTTTGCAAGCATTAATTATTAATCATGCTTCTGTCTACCAAACAAAGTAATTGTTTCTCAGAATTATGTTCTAATCCCCAGATGAAATCAGCTTCCTTTTGTTCGACCTGTGCATGCACAAGGACTGGAGTATGGCCAGACTGAATTTCAGATGTGCTCTATAGAAGATTTGATATTTCCACAAAGCAGTGTCAAAATTTTAAAAACAAATATTCCCTTTGCAAAGGGAAAAGACAATTTCTATGTCTGCTGGTGCTGGTGCACTTGGCCATCCAGTGCAGACAACTCTTTTTCCATACTTGAGTTCATGGCTGTACTACTGAATTTCCCTCTGACTTGTTAACTTCAGCAGCTCTTTCTCAGTGCCTGCAAGGATCTGGAGGTTTGCAAGGCTCAGCTACGCTACACATCGTCCAGTTCCCTTAACAGCACCTTCTGCTGCATTTCAGATGGGCAAATTAATCAAACTTCAGGCACTCTCCTCACTCAGCCAATGACGGGATGCTGCTCTCTATCTAATAATCCAATCAGCTGAACATCATTTTCATAGAGCAAGAAAGACTTTGAAAGATTCAATCTCTCACAGGGAAAAAAAATCATGTCTTTAAAAAAAAAATCTGCATGCAATATCAGGGGGTTTCTACAGTAGGAAGATGAACAATATTAAAATAGTGAAATGCTGTGGTAATAAAATATATGCATATAAATCCTTTTTTCACCCTGATTTTAAAGCAGCAGAGTCTTTGGGAAGCTTTTTAAGTCTAATTAGTTGAAATGAACCACATAAACTGACAAGTATAATTAATAGAGAATACCAAAACATTATTTTGATCAGCATGAGGCTCTTCCTTTCTCTGTACCGAGTGCTTGATGCACTGCTTGGTGTATAATTAATTTCATTTCCAACTGTTTGCTTTGCAGTATACAATGCACTTTTTCTCCTCTCTTTTTTAGACCCATTTATCTTGCAAAATAGATTCAATCTCCTCAGATCAGGGAGCTCCCGGGAGGCTTCCCGTGTCTTCAGGAATTAACACCTTCTTGGCATAATTGGTGCTCCCGTGCTTTTTATACCACAAGGCAAAGGGAAAGGTGAGCCTCACGCAGGGGAATTTCAGGTATTCAGGTTATTTAAACTGAACTTTAAAAATCCCAGTCAAAGAGCGAAACTTCCACAACCTGCCAAATGCTCCTGTGTCTTTCCCCCGGAATCATGTTCTTCACACATGGACAGCAGACTTACTTTACCCACTCAAGCTTTATAATTAGTTTTTGTGGGTTTTTTTTAAATATAAAAACCCCTCTCAAACATTCACTATTTCAAACTACCTTTGCTCAAAGCCAGCATTTCTTACGAACATTTCTTCATGCACTCGTTCGCCAGCAAACTGTCACACACACAATTTCACCCAGAGATCACCTTTTCATTAATATAGAAACACAGAAAGAAGAAAGCAGTGAATATTTTCCACTTATTATCTGATGAGTTGCAGATCTGCTTTCTGAATCTGAATTCCTGAGGAAGCTCCTTACCTGAGTAATCCAACCAAGAGCAGAGCACTCTAGTAGTGTTCATCGGAAAGATCTAATACTTTTTTAAATCCATCTGTACCACAACAAGGGATTTCTTTTATAGCTTCCCAATAATCTTCTTTATCAGGATTAAAAGTAGAAAAAAAAAGAAAAAAAAAATCCCTTTTTCGTTACAAATCCTGTTTCCAGAGTAAAGAAGACATCTGAGCTCTCAGACTGCCGTCAGAAAAGTGGCCAAGGTTTGAGGGGTGGAGACCTTCTCATTTTCACCTTTAAATCATTTCCTAGCCTTGGAGTTTCACCTTTAGATCATCCCCTTGTGCCGGAGGAGCCCTTCGGAGGGGTCTGGCGGCGAGGAGCAGCTCTCGGCACACGCGAGGCCGAGCAGCAGCGGGCGGGCGCGGGCAGCGCGGCCGCGGCTCCGCACGGGCGGCACAAGGCGGCGGCTCCCGGCCGCTGGACCTGCCCGAGCCTATTTCAACACATCCCTGCTCGGGAGAGTATCACATGTGCCTTAAAGCGACACAGCCCTCGCTCAGCCGGAGACTGGAGCTGCATTTAAATAGCGGCAGCCCAGCCCGCACGGCGCAGGGGAGCGGCCGCTCCGGCTGAGGGAGGCAGGCGGGGACGGGCAGCGGGAGCGCCGGGGCTGCGCGGCCACCGAGGGGCCTGGGACGGGCTAATTCCGCCAGCACAGCCTCGATCCCCCAGCCTTCATTCCCCAGCCTTCTTCTGGCACCTGTTCACGAGAGGAGAGCGGGACTTAAGGGAGGCTCTTGCCTTGCACACGCCTGGGAGGGGAAGGGAGGTGCAGGGGAAGGGTGAGGGGACACACGGCAGGGCAGGAGAGTCCTGCGCGCTCCCAGGGGCTTTCAGCACCTGGCCACAACTCCCAGGGGAATCTTCCCTTCCAACTCCATTTCCGAGGTCTGCTTCTCTGCAGACAATGGGGAAAGAGATTTACTCCCAAATGCTAAAGCTCAGCTATGCCAGATTATTTATTGCAGTTATTTATTCTCCACGTCTTAAGTGGCCATTTACAGGAATGGAGTGGTTTCCTCTCCCTCTTGTACCATATGTAATTATTTTTTTTAAAGAGCCATTGTATAGACTTAGTACATACCATTCACTTGGTATTACGGCTCTTATGTCTGCCTACAAAAGAAAAAGGGCTTGGAGACAAAACAGAAACTTCCATTTTAAGAGCTCAGGATGGGTGCTACAACACAATGTGGGATTATTTGTTTTCCCCTTGGATAACCTATGGGAGAAGAGTGTGCCACCTTCACTAAATGCTCACCAGCACAAGACAGCAAACAATAATAAATAACAACAGCACTAAGTACCCTTACACTCAAGTACCTCCACCTCAGCATCTGAGGGCATCTATCTCAGTGGAGACTCTCTGAGAGGTACAGTGAGTTCATTTGACAGATCACCTGCTCCTTTGGAGCTGCTGCATTTCATTGGGTAATACACACCAAGGATTTGGTCCTGCAGACCAACAGAGGTGCTATACTGGTCTCTGCCACAATGCTCAGAGCAGGTCTCTATTACAGCCTTAACACGGTGAAGCACTTGGTGGCAGGTGGGTGTGACAAAGTGACACAGGAGATCACTGGCCATGGACCCTCCCATCAGGTCCCTGAGCAGAGCTGGGGACAAGAGAGTGGCCCAGGCCAAGCCTCACATGACCAGAGATGCTTTCAAAAGGGGTCAACATTTTCTTTTCAGGTGCTTTGTTTGAAAACATGTTGTGGTTGGGGATACAACGATATGTTTAATAAGGGCTTTCTTGTTTTCCTGAAGAATTTCCTTAGACACTGAAAGTTCAGTGAAGAACTGAAGTAATAATTACTTTGTCACCTCAGAAGGGTTTAAAAGGCTCATAAAAGCAGATGAGAGGCAACAGAACACCATGAAGCACTGATGAGCAATGTAGGTACCTTGTATCAGGTACAGCCCAGAGCAGGAGTCAGCAGGAGGAGGCTGCTGGGGTTTGCTACCAAAGCCACAGGGAGGCTCAAGAAATTCAATTCCATGAGATCTCCAGAGTGATTTCTGCAGCTCCTGTAAGGGGCAGGTGATGGGGTTTATTTGAAAATAAACACCTGTTTAAGATACATCCCTTTTAGGTCTTTGTGGGAAAGACACAAGTGAAAGGGTACAGAGTGGGGAGGTGTGAAGAAAGATGAAGGAAAAGGGTCTCAAGCAAATATCCTCTAAGAAACTCAAAAGTCTTGTGGACAGCAGGAAGAATCCAACAAATTGTGACCACACACCTTGGCAGAGCAGGCAGAGACAGATTTATGCAAGATACAGATTTATGTAAGGTACAGCAGAACTGTCACTCTGCCAAGCACTGCTAACTCCCAGCTCCATGAGGCTAATGCCACCATAACCCCTGACAGATGCTGCTATTGCTCAGGACAAGCTCTGCAGAAACAGGGGACATGTTGCTTCTGCAGGGCAGGGGGGAGATCAGAGGGACAGAGAGAATATTAAACAGGCTGTGCTTGCAGCCTCTCCCTGCTCCCAGCATCAGACAGCAGCACAGGAGTCCTTGGCAAATCTTGCAAAAGCATCCTCACACCTGCTTTGATGCCTTTGCTGCCAATTTTAACTTGCAGTGGACCAACAAGACATCAAGCATTTTCCTCTTGCCCTCTTTGCTAAGCACAGAGCCATATTCACCTGGTGGCTTGGGGCTTTGCTTCAGCCCCCTCACCTGGCTCTGACAGGGAGGGGATGATGCTTTACAAGCACCTCTGGGCCCATGTTGATTGTGGGGCTACTGACACTGACATGCTGGGAAGAGAAAATAGGGAGGAAAAAAACCCACCAGTGAGCAGCCTGCACATTTTAAAATGCTTTCTCATGAAAAGGGAAGGCTGCGAGTAATTTGCCTCTAGACAAAAGGGAAGTGGGTCTGAAGGTGGTGTCCTGTGGAGGGGGAGCTCCTGGCAGTGCTGGGGTATGGTGAATCCATGAACACCCTTTGGGTTATGTGGTGTGTCTGGCTGCTGGGAGGTGAAGTGTCAGGAGGAGCTCCTTCCACCCTACTCTGACACCTGATGGGACACAGGAGAGGACAGAGACCAGCACCTGAGCTGTCCCAGCTGGAAACTGCTTATCCACAGCTCTGAATGAAGGACTCCACGGGGCTGCTGGCACAGACCATTACCCTGGATGGTATCTCCAAGGTGAAGGCAGATTGCAAAGGGACAGCAGGAATCCAGCTGTCTTTGAGAATCTGCCCCACACCCAGAGCTGCATGCTCAAGGAGAACAGCCTCTCCCTCCTGCTTCCACCATTCATCTAGAGATGCCAAGTGAATGACAAAAATAGGCAAATAAAAATAAATGCTCTTCCCTGCCTGGACCTCTATTTATCACAATTTTCTGGGCACACAGAAAAGGACAGCATATGCAACTCAGGCAGGCTCATGCAGACAGCAGATTGGTGCTTGCACCCAAAAAGGGGCCTCTGGCCTCTGCTTTCTGCATTCTGCCTCCTCTGCCTCCCTCTCCTCCTCCCCCACAGGTGCCTTTTCCCCATGAAGAGGTTTAACACCACACATCTAGGCTCGTATTTCACAGGGTCTGGAGAAGGCTCACCACCTTGGAAATGCAAAGCTCCTCAGTTCCAGTGTTCCTGGGACAAGGAAGCTTTGCTTTTCACAGATTGTGTTCTCCACCCCTCTCAGCTGCTTCCACCCACCCTACAAAGCTCCTTCCCATATCCCAGGCTCCCCCCTGGCTGCTGCCTGGGAAACAGGCACTGCACACTGCAGCTCCTCCCTACCTAAATGTTCCTTCCCAGGTGAGCCAAGTGTAGTCTCACGGCAAGTTTTACCTCAGTTCCACCAAAAGCCAGATTTCTGACACTCATCCTAGGTTCACAACATGCGTGGAAGCTTTTTTAAAATCTGGCAGAGCAGTTTTGCTTGGCCCCCTCACCTCCTCACAGAGTTTTTCCTGCACTGGGAACCATCCCACATGGATAACCAGCAGCTGAGCATGTGAAGATTGAGCTGCCTACACGTGGCTGCCTGAGCAGCAATGCTGTGAAGCCCAGAGTAAAACCAGCCAAGAAATCCTCATCCAGGGCCCTGAGCCTCCCTGTGTTTCTTGTTCTTGGTTGTTTTCCTTTCCCCTAGTGGAACAGAAAGCACAAAGAGGATTCCTTTGGTACAGGGAGAGCACAGGTTTACCTTTCCCCTGGACACAGCTTGGCCCAGACAAACACTCACCACCCATATTCAATCATGAGTGCAGCAATGTTTGATGTTCTGTGTGCACATCCCCTCTGCTCAGCCAGGAGCTCCACCTCACATCTAGAACTTTTGATAGGTACATTCCCAGGAAAACCTTCCTCACCCTGAGACTTCGTTTTCTCAGTCCTCATCACTTTTTTCCCCTCTCTTGCAGGGCATCTAATCCAACCTCAGTGACCAAACTGAATCTATTTCTTTTCTTGCTCTTCCTATGTCTTCAATGACAACATGAAATCCATCTGTCTGTATTGTAAGGTTTTCTCCTCCTACAGCTTCTTCCAGTGACAAGAGAAGGTGCGGTGTTTTTAATGGAGGCAAACAAGAAAAGCTGAGCTAGAAAGATACACCATTTTTTCATGAAGGGAATAAACACTGAGGATTTTTCTGGCTGTGACCACAGCCTCCCCTGACCAGCACAAAGACCACACACACCAAGAGACTGAGCGAGCAGAGCTGAACAACATGAGCAGAGAAACCCCCTCCCATGGGATCATCCCAGGGGCTGGTGCAGACAGATTTTGTCCCACCTCAGGCACAGGATGTTGGGAGATGTGCTGTGTTTCCAGCACAGGTGCAGACACACGGATAAGGAGGATCAGCCAAGGCAGCAGCACAGCACACTCAGAGGAGATGCTCCACCTGCTGCTCTTGGCCCCTTTCCACCCTCTCAGCTCATGGCACATCCCTGCTCTGCCTCAGCCACACCACACTTGCTTGGCAGAAGCAGCAGGTTTGTCAACCATCCCCAAGTACACAGGGAAGATCCAAGCAGGAAGATGACATAACCACAAGGGAAAAAGAAACCAACCAAAAAAACCCCCACAACAACCACAGGAGCATGATAAGTAGCTTGCACTGGAAAACAACAATTAAATAACGAGTTTGAATGTTGACAACAGCAGGGAGAAGTGAGAACAGAACACAAAAGAGGGATTCTCACAATTGTTCCTCCCAGCCTACCTTAAACATGTGGCTACTCCTTGTCAAAGTGATGTCTGGTCTTCCCAATTATTGTGTTTGGGAGGCAGGGATTCTGCTTTTTATGGTTTTCCAAAGCCTAAGGGGGGGGAGAAAGAAAAAAAAGAACACATCTATATTTGTCAAAGAAGTTTATATCACAAAAGTTTGTGTCCTAGTTATTTTTAAAGTATGTAGGACAACGCACACAAAAATTCCCAACCCTTATCTAGAACTTGCCATTAGCTGACAAGATCAGTACTTGCTGAGGATTAACAAGATGAATTGTCTGTGCAATACATTATCATCATCATCAAAAAAAAAATTAATAGCACTCAGTACATTTAAAATATAACTAGACTTGCCATTAGCTGACAAGATCAGTACTTGCTGAGGATTAACAAGATGAATTGTCTGTGCAATACATTATCATCATAAAAAAAAAAAATTAATAGCCATCAGTACATTTAAAATATAACCACCAAAATCCAAAATGTGACTGTGCTCAGGATGTCATGGCAGGTAAACATAACCATCATGTAATGGAGATGAGTTGTCCATTTAGTTGCAGTTCAGAGATACAAAAAAAGCAAAGAAATCCAAGTTAAAACAGCCCATGAACTGATAGCAGTTCATGGCTTCTTGGGATACTATTATCCTTTATCTATAGCTGGAGAGATCATCCTGATCTGAAAATCCAGAATGTTCTCATGGATTCCCAAATTCATCCCAGCACAAACTCAGCACCTCCAGCTGACTCTTAAATGAGCCAGCTTGAACCCATTACATAAAATGCTGTTGGAATAGTCCCAGTTTGAAAACAAACTATTACTTTTGTCAGGCTGCAGCTGCTTTTCCAGACCAGCTGAAATCACATTACAGGCAAGATTCCCCTACTGTGGGCAAATCATGGGTCAGAGGCTGCATGAACTGAAAATTAGTGTATCTATAGCCAGAGGGGACATTTGGCATTTGATATATCACTTTCATTATGTCAAATATCAGTCCTAATATCACAGGTTTAGCATTTGCTTTTGCTGCTGAAAAGTCAACTTTTACATGAAGGTGCAAGTGTTTTTAATAGTTACAACGTAAATAAAATAAATCCATGAAAAGAAAAAGCATTCAGAAATTTTGGGAAGGAAATTCCCTATGGTAAGCTCAGATAGGGTCACTGGGTTATATTCACTCCCTCTACACTTGCTATGTTTCTAAATTTCAATTAAACTTAATAAAAAATAGGTCTCCATTATTATTTCAGCAGCTTTAGAAGCAGGGTTGAACTAGAAGGTCTGCAGAGGCCCCTTCCACCCCAGCCATTCTTTGATTCTGTCATTATCCCGAAGTAATAAAAAAAAGGAGGCTTCAACAGCAGTTAAAAAAAGCCTGCTCTGTCAAATTTGACATATTTCAGACATCAACATAGAAACAAGACTATTCAGGAAACAAATTTCCCCCTAAAATATTGCAGCAAGTCAGCCCCAGCTCGATAGCCCCTCTGTCTCCTCTTGGCAGACTCCTCCTGCCCAGCCAGCCTTCCACCTTCTCCTGGCAAAGGGACAACTGTAGGAAAAGCTGCCAAATCCACACAAAAAGTTGTTACACAGACCAAAGCTCAAAAATACATCAACCCTTTTCCAGTCCCATCAGAAGCAAAAATTTCCCCAACAAACCATGAAAGCTCAGAACACAACCAGGAAACCACTCCACAACCCCCAGAATTCTATTTCCCAAAGGCTCACCTTAAAAAAAAACTACCCAAAAACCAGCTCTGAAGTCAGAGGCAAGTTTAGCTATTGTTTCTGTTTGCCTCTACCTTAGACTACTTTTTTTCCCCCCTCTAAGTCCTTTTGGCTGCTTCCCCAACTTCAAATGCAGCAAACCCCATCACTCTCCTCTTCCTCTCAGTGATTATTTGCCCCACAAAGGGAGCTTTTATAAACTCAAACCTCATGAACACAGGGAGGAGCTGGTTTGAAGGCTCAAAACACCATCAGGTGCAAAGTGTTATTTTGGTGAGATCAAATCCCAGTGCCCAGGCACACCCAGGCTGATGTGGGGAAGGTGCCAGGATGGTTTTGTGCCAGGAGCTCAGGGCCTCTCCTGGCTGGGAAATGTTTCAGACACCCAGGTCTGCCCTAGGGCACATCCAAAGCACATCCTTGCATAGCCCAGCACCTCTTTTGGAAGGAAGCTCTGGCTGGTGCCAAAGGAAAATGAAAGAGGCCAGATCAGCTCTGCAGTCTTGCACTTCTGGTCTTTAATTCCAGGTGCTACACTGAAAATAGCACTTTAAAGTTTTCTAGCTCTGCCTTGGCCTCAGCTGCAGAGCAAATCTCAGCTTTTACATTACACCAGGGGATTGACCAAACAGCTGATTTGCAAACCCATGTATTTGCTTCCACTTTATCATAAATACAGACAGTGGTGGGGGAAAAAACCACATAAACAAATTGAGAGGTTTCTGTGCTGCTGGTCCCCTGCAGTGTGGAATCTTATAATGGAATCACTCTGTGATATTAAATTATATTTCAGTTTATTACTTCTAAAATGGCCTGGGTTGTGCAGGAGCACAGTGTGGCTTCCACACACCTATTTTAGCATGCTTGGACATCCCCAGACTAGAGGTGCTACATGAGGAAATGTGGTTATGGATGAAATACACTGCTGTGCAATGCTATAGCCTAGGGTTCCTGGGAAAAGCCTTGAAAAGATAAAGCAGGCAGACAGCAACAATTTTTGCCTTCAGTTATGTTCATGAAAAAACCCATCCCCAACCAACAAAAAAAATTATCATAAAGCAACGCAGAAGACGCTCTTAAAGAGGGTGGATGTGAGTTTGGGGGAAAGATCTCCCACTGGAACAAAAAAAAAGTGACAATTATGAATATGTGGCATAGAGCAGACAATATTCCCACTGGAACAAAAAAAAAGTGACAATTATCATGAATATGTGGCATACAGCAGGGAATAGTCCCTGCTGCCATTGCTTAACCAATTAGGATTTAATTCCTTGTCACACCTTTGGCCTTGTCATTAAGAAAACCACTCTAAGCACTCTCTTCCACCTCTTCTCCCTGTTTGCTGGACCAGGCAGGGAGCTGCAGCCAGAGCCCAGAGTGCTGTGCTGGTGCTGGAAATGGTGATTTTCTGAGTAGGGAATTAGTGCATGAAATGAGCACTAAAAAAATCATATACTGTTCTGCCTTTGCTTCAAAACAGGTTGGTTGATTGACAGCAAACCCTATATAATAGTTCCTTCCAGGCAGATGGCAAGATCATGATTTGCTCTTCAGTCACAATTTTCTGCTGCATCTCACAACCCAACCCATCTCCACAATCTACCAATAAAGAGGGGCCTGGGCTGCTTTATATGTGTTTTACAAGGCTCACATCAAAGCTTAGGGATTAATATTGTGACTGGTTATCATATTCCATTTTGTAAAAATTTGCCTCGAATTTGCCTCCAACATCTCCTGGCTGATCCTGTGCAGATAATAGCTGCAGAAATCCACACAAAAGCAGCTCTTAAATTCCTGAGCCTCCCCTGACAGACAATACTCTTCAGAACGCTTGTGTAGGTGGTGAAAATCTTGCCATACATCTCCAGCTCTCTCAGCACATATTGTTTTTAGGCTGCCATCTGCTAATGCACAGTCCCACCCTAAGAGAGATGCAGCAATGAATGCTCCGGTCTCCAGGCTATTCTGATTTCAGATTTTTATTTCTTCCAATTCCCAACCCTCAGACCCTGTCACTCTTAACCCTGAGTGTAGCTGCAAAGTTCAACAGACCTGCTCACACCACTGCTAATTTTCAGTGGTAAAGAGCATTTATTGAGCTCTGCTTTAATGAAGCAAAGCAGTGATTCAGACAATGTGTCCCTGCAAGCAGATTCATTTGTCTCTGTGTCAGCTGCACCTAGAGAGCTGCTGGGACAATCAAGAACTCTGGAAATGCTCATTTCCCATGCATGTGTGTTAAAAGGATGGGTATTAAGTGGGTGGCAAGGGAAGAAGACAGCTCCTAAAGGCACAAAATGGGCAACATCTTGAACAAAGCAAGCCTTGCCCATCACAGTGCAGAATGTCAGCATCAAATTATCCCAGTAAATAAGGAATGATGAACATTACCCTTGATTGATTTTCTTCTTCACTGGAATTGTCAGCAGTATTCTTTTTCTTACTGCTGATTCTGCTTCACTACCATGCACATTAGCAAAATTTATAAGATTATATTTAATTTTTTTCCTTGTTAGAAAACAAATTTATAATAGCTAATTTACATTAAGTTTCCTATGCAGAATCCATCACTAAAATACATTGGAAGCTACAAATTTAATGCTAGCAAACTGAAAAGTATATTATCACTTGCCAACTGAAATTTATCTGTTTTGATCCTTTTTTTATATACCTCTTCTCCCACACATCCCTTTTACTACCCCACCTTCTTCTCAGGTTTTCAAAGATTTTGTTGTCATTTAGTCCTGAATAAAATCCAAGAATCCACTGCAGGCTCTGTACATCAAACTGTGGTTCATGTCACACCCTGGCTTCTGTGCACCAAGCAGGGAAGTCAGAATAAAGACTCATACACAATACATTAGAATTGCTTCTTGTATTTCTTGAAAAGAAAAAGGTGAATAAAGGAGGACCAAGAAAGCAAAATAGGGATGGGAAAATGAAACTATGAAGGGCTGTGTGTTTAAAGGAGGTACAACTGGTAGTTTTGCTTTCTTTCCCAGCTTGTACAGCAATCCTGTCTTTCATTCCCTAAATGCTACAAAAATGGTTTGATAGACTGAAGTTATGTTTTCCTTGATTTCAGTAATCAAGGTAAGTAAGGACAATCTTTTCCATTGAAAATAGAATTCTTTTTACATCTAAGCAACAGTAGCAGTTTTTGTTTCATCTAACTCTGCTCCAGCAGAAGATTGCAACTGCCTTTTTGCAAGCTTTTGGTTGCCAGAAATATTAACACCCTCTTCAGAGCATGGCAGATGAATTCTCCTGCAATGAAATAGAATACCTTTCAGAGAGCTTGAAAGCAACTAATAGACTTTCAGGAAAATGCTGAAAATTGGCTTAATGTTGCATAAATAAAGATATTTATGCAACCTGAAATGCAACTGTACCACAAGCAGAAGGCTGGGCCCTACTTATGATACCAAATCCTTCTTTTGCCAGTTTGCACAGATCTTTAATGGACATGGGGTCATTTGCTGCCCTTCTGAACCTCCCCTGATACAGTAATCATTGTTAAATTTTAAATATGAATCATTTTCCAGGCAATATCCAGTTGGCTCCTCCTTCCATTTTCCCACAGGGGGCTGAAAAGATGTTAAATTGTTCTCTTCACAATTAAATTCATGAAACACTTAAATTCTATGGCAGTCAGACACCAAGGAACAGGAAAATAATTTCATCTCATAATGTTTTAGAGCCCCTAGGCAAATGTAAACACTGTATGTGATAGAGGAAGGATTTATTGCTGCTGCTGAACAGAGATTCTGCAGATTTATTTGTATATCCAACAGATTTTTGAGGATAATTTATTTATTACAGAATTTTGGTAGAATGATTATTTAGGAAGTTTGAACACACCAGACTCATTTGTGTGGAGATGCATTTTAACCAAAAAGACACAGAACCAAATCAATCTGTATTGAACACTGGCCTGCAATAGTGAATCATTGCTGCACTCACTCTCCTGCCAGAGCATAAAAGGGTTTGAGGTCTCACATATCCCAGGTTCTGGAGGCCAAGAGACATTTGATAAGTGACCACTGCAAGTGGTGCTGGAGACACATTAAATTTAGGCAGGGAAGTATCTAAGTCGCTCTTATAGTCTTGTAAATATTTTACCCAATAATAATTTCCTTAATTTTGCTGAGAAAAACATCAATAAAATCTGCTTCCAACTGTTGTTTTAACTATTCATTTTTATATAACTAAGAATGCCAAAGGGCATCAATCTGAGTCAGTACATCTCTGTTAGGATATCAAATTCACAGAAACATTGGTAAATGTAGGACTTTATGTCATGTCACTTATTTTTACAGTAAGCACTTGGCTCTGCTGCAACCTCCTCTGCCTCAGCAGTACCAGGCAGCCTTGGGAGCTGCTTGGGAAACTAGAGGAGGATAATTCCAGTATCATGGCAGAGGTTGAGACACGAGCTTCCAACAGCAGCCAGCAGTGGATTGTGCTTGTAGGAGCAGCCACTCGCACACTCATGGACATCCCAGCTCCAGTCACATCCTGGTCCTGCCCAACACGCTGACTTTCACTGAAATTTTTGGGAAAAAGCCACCTCTTCCTTCACAGCTCCGTCCATGAGACCCAGCAGAGCTGGCTGAGCTGTGACCATGGCCTGTGGCCTTGCCCCAGCACAGCTAAAGATCACAGAGAGCCTGAACCTAAGCATCACCTCCTGACACCTCATCACACATCTCTGCTGAAGGGTGCCTGCATAGAACCAAGGAATTAAAAATCCTTTTTGTTCTCTTCTCACTCTCCATGAGGAGCCAGGAGACTTCTTTAAACAAAAGCATTATTTCTGAATTTCTCCTCAAAGATGCCACAGAAATCACTCTGGAGCATCTGTCAAGCTGGCATTCCCCAGAGAGTGCTTCAGCTCTTTGCTCTGGCTAACTTGAAGTGAGAACTTGAACCATATCTCAGATAACTGCTGTAGAGAATCAATTTTCAATTTCCTGCTGAACTTCAGATATATATTTAAATACTCAGTACTTCTGGCATCTGGAAAGAAACCAACAATAAAATCAAATGGTCAAGCTGCTCATCCGATAAGGGGAAAATCTGCAATGAATCAAACCAATGAGATCCTCAGACAGGGGCCTGAAGGGGAAATTTTCTCAGGATCAGTGT